GCAACCGTGTTGTCACGCACCAAAGCTGCGTCGATACCCTTAATGTGGACCCTGTAAGTGTAGGTTGCATTTGCCGGTGTAGTTGAAGCTGTTTTATTGTCCTTTGGGGTAACATTGTGCCAATATACAGCTTCCAAAACTGAACACCGTATTCTCGCTGCGATGCGCTTTATTGTACTATGAGATCTCTCAAGAATCCCATTCCCAGATGGTACGTGGGCACAGCGAAATCGTATTTGTACATTCCACATCTTTGCAAATGCGGCAAACCTCTCTCCACAAAACGCTGCACCATTATCCGTAAGCAGCTCAACCGGCGGCCCTCTTTCACAAAACACTACTTCCAGCTCCTTGATGATGCTAGCAGAATCTTGGTGGTGCAAGGGCTTCTAAATGGCAAAACGACTAGGGCCGCAGTCTATCAGCGTCAGGTATAGTTGATGTCCGAAATGGGTTACATCTAACGCAAACCTGTGCCAATTTTCCGCGACATCAAGCCTGCCCGGTTTCCAACGGACAGGGGCCGGGTCAATTGACTGGCATTCTTTGCATCCCCTAACCACCGCTCGCACCTCAGCTTTTGTTACTCTTGGGTCGATCAACTTCACAAAATAGAGTGTTCTCTTCACACCTGGATGTCCGCTGGATTGATGAATGGCTCGTACTTGAGCAACATCTTGCTCTTCAGCCACAGCGCACAAAGGTTCTCTGGGTTCCGTTATTTTGCGCATTTCATTTAACCATCACTGCGGTACTCTAGTAAGTTGGTCGGCTCGATTGTTGCATGACTTGACAAGCTCTACATCAATGTCCAGCTCGTATTCTAAGGCCAACTCTTGGAGTGTTGTTAGCCGACGTCTAATTAGCATCTCGGAGGCAGCCTTGGTGCGCACTCTCGTCCGTCCGGACAGTGTGTCTGCTACCCAGCAATGCACACATGCTGAGTCTGTCTGTAAATGAATGGTTTTGGCCTTCCATTATAATGCAAGGTTGACACCTCGCAACACAGCATCAAGCTCAGCCAAGTTGATGTGCTTCTCTTCGTGCACCGGTCGGAACCAGCTTGCGTCTTCTGCCATGGCGCCATTGCTCTCCACAACCACACTGGTGGCTAAGGAGCTTGCATCTACCCACATAGTTACATTTTGCTCACTGATGCACCAGTCACCTTTCACTGGATCGTCCTGGGCTAGTCTCTTAAAAATGTCGTTGATCATCTGGGCTAGAAAAGGGTCCTGCACTTCGTCATCCCATCCAGTGGTAACAGTGTTTGCCCTCCGCTTCACAAATTCTGTGGCGACACATAACCAACCGCATACAGAAAAATGACTAGTCAACTTCCCGCACAGTGAGAAGACAATTCGGCGGGTAAGTTTATCGGGGACTACCAGAAGTTCACATCCACGACGCCATCGCAGTTTTCCTTGCTCCTCCCAGACATGCAATGCCAGTACGCGTGTGTCAATTCTTAGCCGCTCCAGGGTCTTACTTGACAGACCAAACTGCTCCAAATGTTCCTTGACGCAGACCACAGAACACACACTCTCATTAACAAAAACGTTGTCAATATAAGAGGAGGAGGCTGCGTTGACGATCTCGTCCTGGCTCAAGACGTTATTAACAATGGCCCGCATGATTAAAGGGGCAACATTGAGCCCAAATCCTAAGCGGGTTAGACAATACCTTTGTCCCTTAGTCTCCACTGTTTGGAATGGCCAAAGGGACTTGTCAACGTGTACCTGCAGATAGGCCCGGCATAGGTCCAGCACTGCAGCATTTGGTCCTTGCTGACGCCATTCCCGTAATTTTTGCGAACACACATCTGCGTTGGCCGCGTACGCATCAACGTATTCATTGAGTTCCCGATAGTCCATAACGGGTCGAACCTTCTGTTTGTTTTCCTGCAGAATGGCCATGAGGGGGATTAAACCCTTTGGGGGTCCGAGTTCCTCCTCCGGGTAAGGAAGCAGCCAGCCGTTATCTATCCAAATCTGGAGTTCCCAATCATACCCCTCCCAAATTTGTGCGGGAGCTGGATATTCTGCCAGTCTATTTCTTAACGTACCCGGAGGTTGGTTGCCAGCCCATTTCCAAGATGTGGTCCACCTCCGAGTGGTCTCATCGAATTCTACTTTAAAGTCGGGCTCGGTAATGGTGATATCAGCAACGACTGGTTCAACACACTGCGGAAACTTCACCTCACCGGTGCCAGTTACAGATATTCCTCCCAACTGTTTGATGGCGTCTAGTCCAAGCAGGAAGTCAAATCCAAGCAGGTCTCCGTCCATGACCAGGGCTTCCATAGCGATGGGCGGTTTTGCACCAACACTAACTTGTACCACTCCAATTCCACAGCAGTCAAGTGCGCCTCCGTCTACTGTAAGCATGCGTGTTGATTTTCTTGTCCCCATGCACGACAGCATGACTTGCGGACTAGTGACTGTGCGCATCCTGTATCCACCAGAGCTATACGTGGTATTCCATTGATGCGAAGTGTCACTACAGGCAATGAGCCATTTACATCAGTTTTGGGGAGGAGATTGGCGCTGAATTCTTGCCCCTTTGCCCGTTTCCCGGACAACACCGAGCAATGTGCCCTTGCCGATGACATCGATAACAAGTGATGGTCCGTCGATGCTTGGTACCAGCACCTTTGGATGGTTCATGACCCAGGAGACAATCGCTCGCCCTATGATTGACTCCATTGCATTTATAGCACATCGTGGGCACATCTGTTTCCTTCAACTGTGCAGCCATTGCGGCCTGCTCCGTAGGACCAATGCACTTCAAAATAGCGCGAGCTCGTGCCAACACATGTGACAAATCCAGGTCTTCCATCTGGGATGACGCTCTTAAAAGCTCCTCTGCATGCTCAGGCAAATCAACAACGAATACACACTGCAAACACTTCCGATCGGCCACCAAACAGAACCGCGAGTCTGCGCAGTTCTGCCAAAAAGACGTCGAACGTCTCCCCTGGATGAAGGCGACGTGCTGCAAAATGCTTCCACGTGGAGAAGGGATCTAAGGCAAAACCTGTGTATAACGCTTTCTTAACGCAATTGAAGTCTGCGCGCTTCTCCTCACTCAATTGCTGGTACACAGCATATGCGCCACCTGCCAAACGCATCGGAATAACACACTCAATTCGCTTCACAACGCTCAACTGATATATTAGTTCCGCCTTCTCCAACCATTCCACTACCGACTGTCCAGAATCGCTTCCGTCGAACAGTGGTATCAGCTTCGGGTCGAAGGCCATAATGCCGAAATAGCTTGTGCGAGAAAACGGAAAAAAAACAACTAAAAAAACAACTTCTTATGACACAAAAGACGAATGCCTTCTTGCGAACCAAAAACGAACGCCTTCTTGCGAACCCAATTTTACGACAGCAAACGAGCAAAATGGCACCCACAACTGCTGCTGACGGACGACTGACCGCAAAGGCTGTTGTCGCCCAAGAAAAGACGCCAAACGACTCGCGCATCTTCTTCTTATAGTCCTCGGTCGAGTCCATTATGGTACTCCAAGGTGTGTCCGATGACAACACACACACGCAGCTCGAGGACGTTTCCGCGCATGCTCGTTCATACCAATATACAAGGTCTGATCAAAACTGTTGCTATGGTAACAGAGGTAAAGTACATAGAGTGAAGCTGCTTTGCACTGATTGGCCTTGAATGCTGTTGTGCATGCACACAAAGTTATAATGGTCTCTCTCACTTCTGGTGTTTATAGCAGGGCTTGGAAGGAAAGTGTATAGAGTGCGGTCATCTCACCACACTACAAAGGTTCTATTACAGGACCATGGCTTGTGCAGGAGTTTTTGGAAAAGCACAACATTTGCAAGTCCGCCATCCACCATATTCCCCAAATCTTGACCCTTGAAACTTTATCCTTTTCAAAAATCAAATCCCACTTGAACGTAACAAGATTTCCAGACATCAAAGAAATTCAAGAGAATGCAATGTGGCAGTTGCTAGCTATTCCCAAAAAGGAGTTTCAAGAATGCTTCCATCAATGGATAAAGTGTGAGGCTTTAGAAGAGGACGACTTCAAAGGAGATTAAATGATGAATTTATATGTGTTGGAGTTTTTTTTTTCTAGCACCAGTTGTATAATGGTCCCTGATCTCTAGAGTTGACAGAGCCCAAGGGATACATCAACAGGACTAGCAAGCAGGAAGCAAATGAAATAAATTACTCAAGTAATAAACATAGAAATAAATATGATATGGGAGCCGCTAATAAAGAAAAACAAATGACAGCAAGTCTTCAACAGGCGCAGCATCTGTAACAAAAGTGAAACTGCTTCAGTGAGTTCAGTCAGACAAGCAGCACTAATCATCAGATAGGTTAGGTTTAAGGCTCCAGGTTCTCCACACAGAATTGACCTACTAGTATGTATGTATGTATTAAAGCATTGGTTCATGAATTTGGTGGCATAATAAATATGAGTTTAATTACTGGGCTGGGCAGTGCATACTTGGACTCAGAGAAAACTGGAAGTGCAATAACTGAGCAGTACTAAATATAAGAATTAAACGAGATATCCCGGGACATGGTCAGTGGAATGAGAACAGTCTAGCCCTTGTACATTAAATAAAGTGTTCAGTTCAGAATTCCCTGTAGGTTATTCAGGTTGTTGAAGGCCGGATGAGACAATGAATCAGAAAACGTGATAAAAACAACAAAGATTATGAAAATAGTCTGAATGTAAATAGCGTAAATAATAATAAACAGAAATCTCTCTATAACACTTTGGAGTACAAATGGATAAGAAAAACAATAGATTTTACAAGTTAGATGGAAGGTTAATCTTACCTAAATTCCCAGTGTTTTCTTTAATTTTGTAGACAAATGTTACACCAAAAAATGAATTTAATAAAAAATATTTAAAAAAGAACTTTCAAAAAGAAAAAATGAACCACATCAATGGAAAAAAAAAAAAAAAACACATTTTGTGAGGATGACTTCATAGAACAATTTTAGCAATTTACCTTTTTATAAGATATCAGATCAAATATGGAACTGATATCCTCAGGTTTACTGACTTGGACTTCAATTGGATGTGAGGACATTAAAGAATCAGCCTTCAAACCACTCCACAAAACATCAAGGACAAATAATTCAAACTGAAAGTAGAAAAAAATGTTAATTTTTATTCCTGCTTACATGTGTGTGAATGTATATACATAAGTATATATATATATATATATATATATATATATATTAAATATAGACAGTGTTGATTCACATGTACACGCTGTCAGAGATCAAACACTCTTTTCCCCTAAATATAACAAATTTTAACTATATATTCATTATATATATATATATATATATATATATATTTAATTAATTGATCTATATAATATGATTATATAATTAATTATTTGAATTGATCTATATAATATAATTATATAATTAATTAATTCATTGTATATATATATATATATATATATATGTGTGTGTGTATTTAAGCAGAAAATTCTCTTTTAAGCATGTCTGATTAAATAGACTACAATGGATTACAATAATGGATAGTTAGACATAGTTTTTGCCTTATCACTTGCACACCTGATGTTGATCTCAGAAAGAGATGGAAAGTACTTGGGAAATAAAAGTGATTCTTACTGTTACAGTGCAATTTTTGCATCATTTGAAAATGGAAAAATATTTGTGAATATGAAAGGATTATGCTAAAAATAAGCAGACATATTGTTTGTAATTTATTTAGTCAGACATTGAGTATAATCACTGAAGTTAAATAATGTCAAGCCTGGTCAGATGGATGACTCTGAGAGTAACAAGTGCTGTTTTACAATATATTCATGATTTTATATATATATATATATATATATATATATATATATATATATATATATATATATATATCTTAGTCATATCATGTTTTAACAGTGGTACTAGTACAATCACTGAAGTTAAGTATTGTCAAGCTTAGTCAGTATCTAGATGGGTGACTGCTTGAGAATACCAAGTGCTGTTAGCTGGGATGTGCAAGTGGTGTCATAGATAAGTGCTTGAAGTATAAAATCAGAGAGCCAAGTTCCAATTACAGTCAGATTCGTTATATTATGTGCAAATACCCTTGGGAAAGGTATGAATCCACCTCTATGACGCAACACCAACTAGGGGTTATTTAGTAGGACTTGTATCAGTAAATTATTATTATCTCCCCAAAATTCTTACCATTTGAAAATATTTTCTGGCTTTAAATAACCTCTAAACGGTTGGTAAACTGTAAAAAAATAAATCTCTCTATCTCTCTTTATATATATATATATATATATATATATATATATATATATATATATATATATACTTTATAAATTAATTGGTTTAAAATATGGTTTTTTGCGCTACACAGTTCTAACCATGTTTCAAAAATGGAAGCTAAAAGCCACAAATTTAATTTTGCAATTAAATTAAAGACATTAGTTCCATTTCATACTCAAGCGAATTTTGGAGTAACTTTTAAAATTACTGGGTTTTAAAGACACAGCTAAAATCACGTTTCCATGGTTACAGATAAATCTACTTCAACTGGACAAGGGGTGTCTGGGTTTTCCTTATGTCTGCATCATTGTATCGGTTATTAGCTACATTTTGGTAAGGGGTAGGGATGTATTTTTCAATGAAAACTGACATCCGTTGAATGCATGTCGTCTGGATTTTTTAAAAATTTATTGTTAATGGCAAAAAAATTCTTACGGCATTTTTTTCTATTTGTAAATTTAAAGATTTTCACGGGTGTTCAGATTAGAATAATACTTTTTATTTAACTACGATTTGAAATATTCTCATTTTTAATTTTTATTATACTATATTTTTTTAAGAACAGTTAAATGTATTAGAATCCCTTATAGTATGTAGGATTATTTTTACATCAAGTATAAGTATGTATATTAGGTTACATTTTTTTTTATATTATTTAAGTAAAATTTATGACAATGACGTCAAAAATAGTTACTTAATTTCACTGATTTAGTAAACTTTTATTTTTTTTATATATAAACCTAGTAATATATTGTTTCTCATGTAAGTACAAAGGACATGGGTCATTCAAAAGCTTACATCTTCTGTCATTTCATATTAATTTTATTTTACTATAGGTGTTTTATTGGATTCTTTTAAGTGCGTGTCATACTAAGTAAAAGAAGTTTAGGTTAGAAATCATTTTATTTAACTACAATTTTAATTACAACTTTAAAATATTTTCATTGTTAGTTTTAATAGACTATATTACTTTATAACACAAGGAAATGTATTTGAAATTACTTATAGTAAGTAAAATTATTTTTCCATATCAAATTATATGTATATTACGATTTTTAAACTTTTATATTTAAATATTATTTAAGTAATATTTATGACACTTACTGCAAAAATAGCTAATTCAATTCTCAGATTTAGTAAACTTTATTTATTAATTAATTTATTTATTTATTTTAAATATATATAAACTTAGTAATAAAGTTTCATATGTATGTACAAAGGACATGGGTCGTTCACTGGCCTACATCATCTAGCTTTTCGTTATAATTTCATTTTTCAGTAGGTGTTTTATTGGATTCATTTAAGTGCCGGTAGTACTTTTTAGAGGTGTTTAGGTTAGAATACATTTTATTTAACAGCAATTTTTAAAAGATGCTTAGGTTAGAATTCGTTTTAACTACAATTTTAAATACAACTTTAAAATATTTTCACTGTTGTTCCAATAGACTTTTTTTTTTATTAAATTTTTAAATATTATTTAAGGAAACTTTTTGACAATGATGGCATATAATAGCTATTTCATTTCTCTGATTCAGTAAATTTTTATTTTTTATAAACTTAGTAATATATAGTTTCTCGTGTATGCACAAAGGACATGGGTCGTTTAATGACCTACATATTCTAGCTTTTCTTATTAACTTCCATTTTACTGTAGGTGTTTTATTTGATTCTTTTAGATGCCAGAAGTATTTTGAGAGATGTCTGATTTTTATATTTATTTATTCTAAATGAAGTTTGATGTTGGTTGAATCTTTTTTTGAATTCATGGCTAGTGCAACCTATATATATTTTTATGTTTTCAGGACTTTCAATCGAAGAGATATTGCATTGGTATACTAATGATTCAGTGCGACATTTATTTTGTAGAGGGCAATTATGAGGGTTTCTACAGTTACATAGTTTTTGTTTATTTCCATCAGTTTTTATCTTTATTTTTCCATTGTCTAAATTTTTTTGGTTTTGGTATAAGTGTTTATTTAAGATATTAGCATTAATGTTCTTAATGATTTTTTCTAAGTTTTCTGTACAGCTATAACTCAATTTTAGTGTGTTTTATTGAAAATAATACTTAGTTTACTTTCACTAGGAAAATGCTTGACTATTTATGCGAGAAATTTATGTCCTAATTTGTTCTTTACCATTTGGTTGTATGGGGGAGTATACCAAATAATTTTTCTACATCTGTTTTTTCTATGCTTTCCATTTTCATTTTTTATATAAGTTAGTTTTGGGTTTTTGTAGCCACTCTCTTTTAGAGCCTTATTATAGGAATTGATATGCTCATCGAAAATCTTGTCATTTGCTGAATTTGTACTAATTTGTTTACTGATAGATAACGGTATATGTTTAATTATAGGTGGGGAGTGATTTTATTTAGGGTGTATATATAAAGGATTGGTGTTGTTTTTTTTATAAGGTGTGTATGTATTTTTATTTAGATCTAATGTTATATCTAGGAAGTCCACTTTTTTTAATTTAGTACTAAGCATAATTTTTAAGCCCATGCTTTTAAATTCTTTATATAATAACTTTCTAATTTTATCTATTTTGAAGTTAGTTGAGTTTCTAATAACCATAAGTCCATCATCTCTGTACAAACCAATGTCATTTGTATTAATATCATAGTGCGCTGTAAGGTTGTATAATATAAAAAGACCAATGAGATCAGAAGACTCAGCTGAGTCTAGTGATCCCATTGTGATGTCAAATTGGTTGTAAGAATTCTTATATATATATATATATATATATATATTAAACTTAGCTATCTCTTCTTTCTCTACTGTTCTCCTTCCTCTCATGAGTGTAGTGTGGTAGATAATTTTTCTGATAATGTAAACAAAGCCATCTTCCTACACCCTGATGCAAATATATTTGTCTTTAGTGAATTAAATGCCCACCATGCCAGGTTGTTTAAGTAATCTTTCACTGGCCTTGCTGGCATCCAGACCCTTAACTTCTCAATCACTCAATCTTTCATGCAAGTGCTGGAATTCTCCAAGCATTTCCTCAGTAACCCTGATGGACACACTTCTCTTCTACTTTTTTCATCTCTGATCATGCAGTATTGTCTTAAAACATTTCTTTCCACTCCCTCACCAACCAAGAACCTCCTATCAAAACAATATCTTTCTGTTATCAATGAGGAGATTGGAAATCATTCCATGATTTCTTTCATGATGTCCCTTGTTTTTAATCTTCCTGTTCAAAAATGCATGTCTGAGGTCCCCTCCTAGGTGAAAGCTGGCATCAATGCTTTCATTCCAGCTAGGAAATACCAATTTAAACTGCGTTCATCTCCTTGGTTCACATTTTCATGCTCAACCCACAGGAATCACTTCTGACTGTACCAGAGTGACATGTTTGACTGCAATAGACATCTATTTATCTCTGTTTGTAATGAATGCAAGCGTATCCTCAAAGAAGCAAAGTTGCTGTTCACTGATAAAATGGACCAACATATAGCATCTTGTAAGTTTGGTTTGAGAGATTATTGGCAGCTCTGCAAGAGTGTGCTTAACAATAGCAAATCTTCAATCCCTCCTCTAGTCAATCAATTTGAAGTTCTGACAGCTACAGCAGATAAGGTTGAATGCTTTGCTTGTAAATTCTCTTCCAAATCAGCATTTGACTCATTTCAAGTACCCACACCTTATTTCCCCAATAGGTTTTACAGAGTGATAATTCACATAACCTTAACAATGGTATCAGACATCATTTCTAAATTAGACTCTCAAACTCCTGAACAACAAGCCATAGGCCCAATCAAGACCTCTCTGCAGGAGCTAGCTTAAATGCTAGTTTAAAATGCTTTTAAGCTAGTATATATATATATAATCCTTGGTATGTATGGAAATACATGAAACCTGCAAATTAGTGAATTTTAAATATAATCCTAATGCACTGAGAATAAATGTAATAATAGATTGTCCTATGCAGCAAAACATATTAAAGTTTACCTTCACAAAATAATAGATTGTCCTATGCAGCAAAACATATTAAAATTTACCTTCACAAAATTGCTAAAAATTCAGCATCCTGTGAAGAAAACATGCTCCAAACATAATGGAGCATAGTTTTATCCTCAAAATCTTTGTTATTATTATTAAGAGGCAAGATCAAAGGATTTTCTGAATATTTAATTAAATTTTTTACCCCATTTTAGAACATTTGGAATTTTGATTAAAAATCTTGCATCAGCAGTTGCACTAATTTTTAGCATAGCAAATTTTAACATCTTTTTTGCAGTGAAAGACATTAATTTGGAAATTCTTGCAAAAACCAAATTGTCAGATTTTAATTAAATTTTCAGAACTTATTCACAAATAAATGAAATTATTTTTTAAATTTTTTATTAAAAAATCTTGGTAAAAATATTTTTTAGATATGTTTCACCCCCTTATTTAATTTTATGAAAACTTGAGAAATTCAAGGTGATAATTTTTAGTAACTATATCAGTTAAAAGTAGAATTCTTTGAAGAATTTAAATCAACAATTTTTTTTCTTTTAAATCAGAGCCTATCTTACTGAAAAACTACTCTGAATAAAAAACAAAAACAAAAAACAAAACATAATAGAACTTGTCAGGTTGACTGGAAGTTGCTGTCTCAATGTTAGACCAAAATCAGACATTTGTGCAGAGGTTCTGAGTGGCACTTCCGGTACCATTTTAAAATATTCGAAAATAAAATTCATATTATTATTCACACCTGACAACGATTCCCTTGCAATTTTGAAGGGCTTCATTTTGAGCCAGCACTTGTTACCTGGAAACTATAACTACCAAAGATAAAAAAAAAACAGAAGAGGATTCTGGGTTGTAAACTCAGATATGGATCACTCTTCAACTGAAATGACATTTCCTGCTTTGCCAACATGGATTCTCCAACAAAGTTATGTACCTGTTTTCCCATTCTTTTCAAGGGTTTTATTAAACATACTTCAATCTGTGTAAGTGAACTTTTCCTGTCTTCTCAAAGGTTTTATTAAACATACCACATGGTGTAGAAAACATAATGGTTATTTGTTCTTAAAAATTCTGTCTTCCGAACCATTATTGTGTCAGATTTTTATCAAAGTATGTAGTTTCAAGATTGTCTTATTTCGGACACCATCCAGAATAACTTTTAATCACAGTTACCTAAATTAGATTGTACACTAACAACATATCACAATCCCACCCCTCCAATAACATTATTTAATTAAAGAAGCTTTTAATCATTTTTATGAATAAGGACAATATTATCTAAAGAAAAAAATTTTTTTTGATGAATTTATAAAATTCGTTTTTATTTTTTTTAATTTTAATGAGAATAATTTATAATATTTTTAAATCTTTAAAATTCAGTTTCAGTGGTATAAATCTTAGGAAAAATTATTAAGTAAAACTATATTTACTAATCATATATTGTAAAGCTTATGACAGTCTGACAGCCCCCAAATATTTCTTAAAGAATTGTGAATTGTTTTTGTATATATAAAAATGTACCAAATTTTATAGATATGGTTGCCCATACATGACACTATCAGAAAATAAGAGCAATAGTAAATTTAGAAATTCAATAAAACATTATATTACGGAAAATATTTTCTTAAATTTTAGTATTATCAAGTACTTGAAAGGTGTTTGCATTTTATTCCTCAATTATTGTTTAAGGTTAAAGCCCCTGTAGAAAAATATTACATAACAATCTGTCATTGGCTGTCAGGGATGCATTAAAACCTGTCAACATAAACAGACAAGCTACCGTTGAGATGAAAAACGGTAGCTTGTTTGTTTATCCGTTGAGTTGAAAAATACATTTCTCTGATATTTTAAACTTTAAAATAATAATATTTGTTTCAAATCAGATTACTTTAAATAAGATAATATTCCTCAAATAAAGTTTCAGAAAAGTATATTTTATTTTGGGATTTATACTTTTTAATAAATTTTTTTATGTCACTAAAAATGGTGCCAAAATCAAAAATTTTAGAAATTTCAAAAAACAATTTCTTCCAATCAAATTAAATTAGTTTTGAAATACATTACAATGTTTTGCTGATTGAAAATATTAAATTTAATCTCTCAGCTTGAAATTAAAACTAAAATAAAAACTTCAAGAAAGATTTTTCAGTATCTGTCTATAAGATTTTTCATTATTAAAAATTAATTTCAAATTTTAGGTATTGTGTTTTCATGAAGGTCTCTACATTAAACATTTTGTCTCCATTTTGAATAGTTAGAGAGTTTTTCATTAAAGATTCATCGTCTCTGTACCAAATTGTCCAATACCCCTACTCCGCCCATTTTTGAAACGAGCTTGAGACCGAACATGAAAAATTGTCAAGCTGTAGGTTTTTCTTATCAGAGTAAATTTATCAAAGATGGACTGCCTTACAATGCTAAAGATTTCCAACTGCTTTGTTATTTACAAATAAGTGGAAGGGAAAACTGGATTCATGCCTTTCTCAAGAATATGTAAGCAGCCATAACTAAAACACAAACCCAGTTTACAAATTCTATTCTTTTGTGTCTGTAAATACAATGCCACTCGGTGCCATATTGAAATAACAGGAAGAATTTAAATGTTTCTTATAAAGAATAGATTGAAATTCAATTTCTAAATTTCTGTTATCTCCCTAATTTTACAGTCAAAACAAATTTACAAATAGAAATAAAAAAAGAAGAAAATATTTTGTGTATAAACAAATGGAAGTCAATCAGCTGGTGAGAACGTCAATTTTGGCAACGAATTTAAACAATGAAATATATTATCTGAGATTCTATCAAGGGGATTAGTGTTTGTCACCAAATAATAAAAAAATTACCTGAATTTCTTTTTATTTTTTAATTTATTAAGTTATTTGTTTATTTCAAGATTTCTAACACTAGAAATTCAATCAAATAGCCAAGTTAGCCATTTAACACAATGAGAGATGGCACAGTGTGATTTTTAAAGTCAATTTAGAAAACAAGATGAATTTTACTGATTCCATATTCTGTTTTTATTTCTTTGATTATACTAAATGTTCAAGTAATAAAAGACACAAGAGCCACTCAATGTAGAATGTTACTGAATGAAGTTCTGTGAATGTAAGAGGAAGTAAATGAAAATTATGAGGATATGTAGGATAGATAATGATTAACCATAGACTTGAAGAGGTTAAGATTGTATTAAGTAGGTAAGTATTCTCTCAGGAGTGTCCCACAAAATAGTGATTCTCAGGAAGAAGCTGTCAAAGTGGAATTTCCTTTATTCCAATGGAGCACAAAGGGAATGAGAATGTTTTGGGTCCTTTTTGGCTGGAAAGATTGAAAAATATTGCTTAATTTCCATGATCCTACAGAAACTGGTATTTTAATATGATGTGGCTGTAAGCCTAAGCTTATAGGTGTCTCACTATAATGCAATTGTTAGCAAATTAGTGTCACAGACATTACTGCTGTAGTGAATTCAATCCATGTGTGATCTTGACCCAGATTAATATAAGTTTAGTAAATATCTGAGGCCTGTTTTGCTTTGGGGCAATGGTTTACAAGAGATTACTAATTAAAATGAAATTGATCCTCATTGGGAGCACCAGATTTTTAGCCTTGTGCCAGTTATACTCAAACTTAGAAAATAGATGCAATAAAACCTGAAAAAGGAGACATACTGGAAGTGATTACAGTATCATTTTTTTTTTTTTGCCTTTCTTTTTTTTTTAGAAAAATAAAATCTGTAGACACTTACCACTTCGTAATCACTGTTGATGACATTGGCACCAATGTATCCCATAAAAGTTGCAAATCCTTCATTTAACCAAAGATCATTCCACCATTTCATTGTTACATAATTACCAAACCACTAAAACAAAAGAAAACAAAGAAATAAACAAGTTTTCTTTGGTTATCAAGTTTAATGAAAATAGATTGTCTTGATATCCAAAGACAAATTGCCATATAGAAAATAAATAAAATAATTAGTGAATTTATTATGTTCATAAAATACTAAAAACTATAAGCTTTACAGAAAAAAAAAATTGATCTAAAAAATATTTTAAATAGACAATTGAATAATATTTGATATTTTTACTAACAATTATAAACTTGATAATATAAATTTAAATTCAATGTTAGAACTTTAATTTATATGAAAATTGTTGCTGGCTAAATCAATAACAAGTTGGGTATAAGAAAACTCTACATATTATGAATATTCCTATTTTTCTGTCCCCCTTTTTTCTGTATCTTCTCATTGTCTCCCTTATCCCTTTCAATCTTTGTTTAAATTTTCTGTTGGTTCCAATATTGAAAGGAAATAACTTCAAAACATTTTCCCCTCCCCAATTTATAGGCAGAAGCACACAAATGAATGCTGGGATTTCTTCCTAGCCAATAAAATAAGCCAGTTCTTGGTTTCATCTGACTCAGTCCTGGTCTGTCTTGAAGTCAGAATGCTACATTCGCATGTCTAAACTTGCTCTTTTGTGTCAACACTAATTCTTAATTTGTGAACTTTTTGCCTTATTACTGTTTGCTTTGCCTTATTACTGTTAATATGTCTTGTATATATTGTTTACTTGCTTTATATTATTTTTTGCCCTATTCTTTTCTTTTTATGGTTATAGCAAATTTGTCAATTCTGTTTGTTAGGCAGTTCTGCCATTTATTTACATTTAACCATGGCCACTCACTCTACATTTTCATCTAAATGTTACATAAACATGGATTAATCTTTTCAATCTTTTCCTTGTTGTCTTGTCATATTCAGCCAACAAACATATTTCTTCATTGTCCCCATTCAAACCCCAGCCTTTTCTTTTCAACTGGTTTTATTTTCATTTATGTACCCTTATTTATCTACTGTGTCCTCTCATGATGTAGGCGATCATGGTCCTCCACAACTTCCTTTCCCTTGTAGCTCTTAACAAACTTTGTCTTTCTATTATTTCTGCCATTCCACCATCCATATAATCAAGCTCATTATGTATATTATGCGTTCCTTTGATCTGTCCTGCGATTATCAGATTTTCCAAGCTCCCTTTTTTTGTTATGTGTGTCAGCTTTCTTAATTCCTATCTTCTGACTAAAGCATAACAGATGTACAGATAAACAAGCAGAATAACAGATGATCGGACTGAAAGCATAATTGATTCTAGCACAAACAGCTTGGTGATCAGGCAGAGAAACTACACTCTGGTCGCAGGTAGAAACGTGTCAGAGTCGTACATATGAACAAATAGAATAATAGTATAAATAATGCAAAGGAAGTTAGATCACTGTGTTGTGCCAGAAAATTTTTTCTCATCAGTGTCCATCTTGTACATTTACAAATCTACTATTTGCCCATACATTGAATACTGCTACCATATCTGGTCTAGTGGTCCTGCTATTCATCTCAAGGTTCTTGACAAAATCCAAAGATGGATCTGCAATGTAATTAATCTTGACTCAACTTCAGTCACTTTCTCACCAATATGGTATGGCTTCCCTTTGTCTTTTCTGCAAATATTTTCAGGACAACTGCTCTTACAAACCTTTTTCCCTGGTATGTCGACTACAAGAATTTAAACGTGCTACTAGATTGGCATCTAAGTCCCACCTGTTTACTGCTGAAAAAGGTAAATGCAACTGCCACTTCTGCTCCAACAGTTTCTTTTCTGGCACTTCCCGACATTGGAACTCCCTTCCATTTCCTTGCTTCCCTGATAACACTACAATCTTCAAAAATTTAAATGCAACATCAATCTCTATCTTCTTGCATCCTGTTCATCTTTTATCCTTTCCTCAAACCTCCTTATACTCAGTCCTTTTTGTCACTGCAACCACCTGCATATTAGTGCCATTGTTACCTTGCTTGGGGTGAAATGATTCAAATAAACACTTTATATTAATTCAAATTGTTTTCTTTCTTTCTTCTTATTCTCCACTTTCTAAGAATTTTCATTTATTGTCCATTGCAAGTGTGTATTGTCTTTTTGCATTTAAACTTAAAAATTAATCCAATGTAAATCTGATGAAAGAAATAAAATTCCTGAAACATGTAAACACACTCAACAAAAAGAGAGAATTATGTTAAACAGTTTTCGTCTTCAATTCTATAAATGTTTGATCACATTTTTTGTGTCTTACTTGTCTATGATGAAAGTGAGAAAAGATTAATAGGCATTATATTTTGTACCGATCAGAAAATTTGAAGAATGCATTTTTTTTTCATAAGGAGATAAATCACATTACCAACCTGTAACTAATTTTAAAATGGGAATTATGGGAATTTTTGTTTATATTTAAATGCTTGAGGAAAAATACTGCATTAACTTTCATTTTCAGAATCTTGAAAAGTGATAGTTTTATTTATTGTTCTTAAAGGACAAACATCCACCATGGAATTTCTACTGAATCTGCAAAATTAATCTTCTTGAATTATATCACATCTTTTTTTCAAATTTGTCAGTGTTAATAATAATTTTGTTTTTGTTTTGAAGAGACACACAGTTGAAAGATTCACTAACCTGATGAGCTAATTCATGAGCTATGGTTATGGCAACAATTAGTTTACGGTGTGTTGTGGAATCGTGTGGGTCATAGAGAATGTTACTAGTTCGGAATGTCATTAAACCCCAGTTTTCCATGGCACCAGCATCAAAGTCTGGAATGGCAACCAAGTCTGGAACAAAACAGAAAAATATATTTGAAATACAATTATGAAAGTTAAATTTCAATACAAGATTGTTTATACAATTTTTTAGCATATAATTCTATATGACCATTTAACTATCAAGAGATGTTTGTGATGAGGAATTTGTTAATAGTAAAGAACTAGAGCATTTTTCCTGGAAACAGGAATGGTTTTATGCAACCAGTTTAAGAATAAAAATACCAAAATAGCAAAAAACATGTTATACAGTTGGTAAAAGAGATTTTTTTCTTTTCAATCAACCCTGTTGATAGTATTTGCATCAAGCTTAAATTATTAAGACATTGGACAAGTTTTTCATTTTCAAACTTTCAAAATTACTTCTGCTAATTTAATGATAACTGGTAGTGCTTGTAAGTCTGAAGGATTTTTTGTTTTTTTGAATGATTTGGTTTCTATGACTTATCAGCCCTTTGTAGGTTATTTAAAGCCAGAAAATATTTTTAGAATATAAGAATTTTTTGAGATGTACTGAATGTAAAGGCCAGGGCCAGAATGGTCAGTGATTGGCCGGAGTGACTCATGGGTGGGTCATTCTGACAGTGATGGACATCCTTTTTTGGGGTTTTGAATATAAGTTCAAAAAGGAGGGTCTCGAGAATCCTGATGCATCGATATGCCTCCCACACTCGGGTCTGCGACCAGCTAATACCAACCACAGAAGAACATAGAGCCAATGTACAACATGCATTCCTGTCATGTCAGTCCTACTACTGCCTCTTAGAATCCAAGCTGCCAGGGTGAATAAAACGAATGTGAAAAGTAAATAACCCTTTTTGTTGATAATGTTTTTATTAATAGTATGGAGATCCCGAGACAACACACAACACAATGGAGATAATAATGTTTTAGTGATACAAGTCTTGCTAATTAACCCATAGTTGGAGGGAGAAGTGGATTTATACCTTTCCAAAGGGTATATGTGCTTAAGTGAATATAACAAATGCAATAATAATTGGAACTCAGTTCTCCAATTAACAATTTCAAGTAATTATTCATTACACCACCCACACATCCAAGCAACTGGTATTTTCAAGCAGTCACTCATCTAGGTACTGACCAGGCTTGATGTTGCTTAACTTTGATGTTTCTACAGGAACCTGTGTTTCAACGTGATGTGACCATAAGCGTTGTAAGTCTGAAGGCATTAGTGATAATAATAAAATGATAGTCCACATACATAAAATGTAATCTATACATATTATTTTTAAGTTACACCTGTGCTTTAGTTTTACTAAATAGTAGTTCTTTTAACTTTAGCGAATGAGCATTTTTTTTTCTTTACTATGACCTATACGCTATTACAGCCTATCTGTACAATTTAATATAGTGCAATTCTTTTACTAACTGCAACAAAGAAAATGGAAACAAAAACAACACTTCTAAAGGTCGTTTCATTAAGATGGATTATATATAAGGGTGTTTCATTAAGATGGATCAAAGTCAACAGTAAATAAGTATTATTGGTGAAAATTTATTTATTTCTCTATTGGATCATGTTATTTAAGTCATGGCAATTATGTGTGAAAAATAATATTGCCCAAATGTCTGCCAAATCTGAAAGAAAAAGAAAAAAATCATTAGACGCTGAAACTTAATTCACATTTAAAATTGGTCCGAGTTAATGGAACACCCTTTACTTAACATCAGAAAGAGAGAGTTCAAATTTCGACAACAGATAATGAGTAAAGAGAGCATGAAAAATTTGATACTCACAGGGACAGAGTGAAGCTAACATTGACAACAATGCATAACCTACCTAATGAGCTTCAGTAAATGGATGGTGGAACAAGGTTTAGGAGAAATAACAAAAAGACAAATTTTATTAAGAGCTACAAATGATAAGTAATTGTGGAGAAACATGACTGCCAACAAACTGAAGGGCCATGATGTATAGAAGAAGAAAGAAAATATATATCTGAAAAGATTACTTAATTTTAAATATCAATTTTATCCCAACTTCAAACTTTCTGAGTAAAATTTCCAGTCTTCAGGGGTTGTGGTTTTAAATGGTAATTCCATTTTTTCAGTTGGAAATATTGTTTAAAATCACTAACCCCAAAGACTGGAAAATTTACTAAGAAAAAAAAAAAGTTGGAATAAAATTGATATTTAAATAATTTTTTCATATAATATTATATAATATTATTAACAATTTTTATATTTTAATATTGACTACTATATATAAAAATATCTACTGTTTCTTAAATCATATATATATATATATATATATATATATGTGTGTGTGTGTGTGTGTGTGTGTGTGTGTGCGCATGCGGCGCAGTTAAATGTTCGCTTTCTGACCATGGTTGATTTGTCAGGAAGGAGACTTCCTGATATTATTGGTCCGGAGTAGGGATGATCCCAGAATGTGGCATCTTTGGAAAGTGCCTGAAAACCACACCAAGTGTTGACCTAAGCCTTATGAGTGAAATTGGCTAGACGGAACACTTTGGAGGCCGTCAATAGCTGTTATAGCACAAATGCACAAGTCATCGTGACCAAGTGTGCTGGTGTTGTTCAGATTGTTGATCATTCTAGGTAACATGCTCTCTCCCAGAAACTGTAACTAAGGTCTGCTGAGCATAGTTGCAGGTTGGCTCTGTGGGTATTGAACAAACACAAATGTGCCTGAGTGAGAATCTGCAATAGGGATTGGCTAGCCGCCTTAGTAGACAGGTATCCCCAAATAAAAGTGGCCAGCTATTATATATATATATGATAGGATAAATAACAATTAGGAAATGTTTATCAATCTATCATGTTTCACTTTTTCATCAGAGAATGAGATATAGAGAAAAAGAAGAAATTCTGGTATTTTGTGTTGTTTGATTTTCATTGGTCAATCATGTTTCATGTGCATTTAAACAACGTTAGTATAATTTAAAGTGTTTCAAATTCAAGGAGAGAGATGACATATCTTTTCAAAGCTGCAACAAATTAACAGATTCCAGTCCTAAATGAATATAACATTAATATTGCTTTATGCATGTAAGTGTTTAATAATTCTAGTTTACTTATGTGGGGTTCAGATGATGATCTATATACATAAGTGTGTGTATGTCTACTAGACATTATGTTTGGTGGTTTTTCATATGCTGGCTTGAGAATGTTTTTATATAAAAATATTAGATTTTGTAATAATGGATTCAATAAATGTTAGTGATGTAAAATAGTTTATGAAGTGAATTTATAGTTCAATGTAAAGAATTATGCTCTTTTTTAATTAAGGTAGCATTTGTAAAATCAAGTTATGGTCAGTTTTGTTCCTGTGTATTATAAGTCTGTTTAAAAGGTTGTCTAAATGTAAATCCTTTTTATGCTTGTAGATACAGACTTTTAGATTTCAAGATATCTCACCAATATAAGTAATTTTAACTTGCAAGCATTTTTATTTGATCAGTACCAGCATTTGAAATTGTGTTAGATTTGTTTTTTTATCTAATTATATCTCTGATTGTCTTGGACATAGAGGTAAAGATCCTAGTATTAAAGATAACCATTTACAAATTTTGTAGATAGAGTGTTAGAGGTTAAGATTATGAATTTTGTGTTGTCGATGTTTGAAGTGATGTAGGTGGTGTCTAGTATTTTTTGATTTGTGAACATTGTATGCTTATTTTCTAGCATTGACAATGAAATGATGTGAAGAAGTCTAAATATTTTTTTCAATCTATTTCTCTTCTTCACAAAGGTATTTTGGGCTACATATCATGGACTGAGCATGTGAGCAATGATGAGGTCTTAGACATGTTATGGAAAACAAAATGAGGAAGGAGTGCCTGGAGAAACTGATACTCATGGGTCGAATAGAGGGAAAGAGAGACAAAGGAAAACAATGCATGATATAACTGGCAGGCTTAAGCAAGTGGATGACAGAATGTGGTCTGGGGGGAAGAAGCAGAGGGAAGGAACTTGTTGACAGCTGCAAGGGAGAGAAAGAGGTGGAGGGCCATGATCGCCTACATCCTGAAAGGACATAGCACAAAAACAGAAAAATTCTAAGAGCTCCGAGGTAGAATTATATGACTAGTTATGATTTTATTTTTTGACTCTGGTGGGAATAAAAATCAATTAGATCGTTTTAGTGAATTGGTTTACAATAAACTCTAAAATCTTGTTTATTATTTTTATTTATTAATGAGAAAAGGTAGAGATTTGTCTATCTCAAATTCATGTGTAAATTCAATGGTAGGTTTTACATTATTAAGAATCTTTATTAGGTCAAGTAGATTTATATTGTGAGGATATATTAAAAGAATGTCATGTATGTATCTTAGGTAAGTGGACTTTTAGGCATGATGTGTTTAAATATTTAAAAACTCCACTTACCCGATATATATATATATAATAATAATAATAATAATAATGGACTCTCCTGTCAGTTTCAACGTATGAGGATCTGACAGCTTATTGATAATCTTAAGTGGCATTTAAGACCTGCTAGTGATTTACAAAGGAGACCACATATGGACCAAGTGTGAGGATTGTGAGATGAAATCACTGTTAGATTGGCTGGCCTTTTACATATTGCTCTCGCTTCTTGAAGATGATTTAGACAAGCAGATTGAAAATTGCTGAGTCCACTAAAACATGTTGATCACCATTCTACCTGCTCCAAGGCTAAGCGCTCAAGGGTATTATGCGGTATATTGACTGCTGACAAGTTGCTTTTCAGCTTGTCTTTGTGTCTAAGCCATGGGCATCCTACATTCCTGTAGCCCTGATCTAACTGGCTGTATATTAGGATCTTGGGTATCCTGTCATCAGACATTCTCAAGACATGACCAGTCCACTGTAACTGAGACTGTATGATAAAAGTCTCGATTCCTCCAATATTACATCTGTTAAACAGGTCTACGTTAGATCTCCTATCTTGAAGCTTAACTGCACAGATTGCACACAGACAGCTTTTAT